CCAAACCCATAGCAGTGTCTCCAATCACCGTACCTGAGGTTCGGTACAACTGGATCCCTAGGGAAGGGGGTGCCGAACTTGGAGGATAGCCCGGCTGTCACATCCACGCACTGGATGGCACCAACCTGCTGGTTCTGCTTGATCCGATCCAACTGGCCTCTCCGTGCTGAAGAAGCGAACCGCACTGATGCATTTGGCCCCCAGACGTCAGCTCCAGATGTTTAGCTGGCAAATCCGACAGACGTCAATCCATAGGACTGAAATAGTTACCTACATGAAAACCTCTCAAGCCACCCCAACAGCCTTCTCCCGGTCAATATGACAGTCCCACCCCTGGCCACCTGTCATCAACCATCCCTGGCCAGTCCAGCCTCTTCTGGGTCGACATACTGTGAGTCCCAGATGACGGTCGTGTCTTTCTGTCTGCTTTGGGCCGTTCAAGGTGTCCGATGGCTTACAGCCGCCCTTACCCAAAGCCATCAATGCACACGGCTGCAGCGGCACGATCAAGGCCCGGCACCCGGCCACCGCTCCGGACACCGCGGCGGTTCGGGACACCGTGGATGGAGCGCCAAAGCAGTCCAAAACTCCTGATGAGTTCCTATACAATGGGGGTGGGTCCGGTTTTGCGAATCAAGAGCCTATACAGTACAAACGGTCCCTCCAAACCTCCCAAAACTGATACTGATTTGGTTGCATCATGTTGCGTAAGCGTGCAGCACTCGACCCCAAGGGGGGTAGAAGGGCTTCCAGTTGGTCAGATCCTATTCCCAGACACTCCATGTATGCCAATGTATGCCATATGCCTACATTAGGGTGTTTTGGGGGGTCAATGGGGCGGCAGTCCTATGGCAGTCCCATGGAGTGTCTGGGATTAGGAGGCCCGACATGCTGATTCAACTGCGGTCCTTGGCCCGCCAACGCCGGTTTTTTCGTGTCTCCCACCCACCAGCTTCATGATTTCTATCGGGTGTGCCCAGGTTCTACGAGCCCCAAGTGTTGTGCCAGCCCAGCAGCACCGTGAGCCGTGTGAAACACATGCGTTTCTTGGCACTCCGACGAGCACATCACATGGTTACGTGGAGTTCACCACCCCGTTTGTAAAGGAACAGGGTTTTCCTTTTGGGACCATGCCATGCCACGTTTTCCCATGTTTTCCCCGTGTTCGTCGGAGTGATCCATTTCTTCATCGCCGTTGGGCACCAAGCCGTTGTTCCAAACTGCCACGGCCGGATGGGACGAGCCAAAAGCACCCAGGCCGTCCATGTGGCTCCTGGTGTGTTTTTGACTTGTTTTCTGACTGGTGCGACTCGTAGGGAATAAGGGAATGAGCCCCCAATAGAGATTCTATTGGATCCATTCCCTCATTCCCTGCACGGTGCTAGGCGGAGTTCACCTTCACTGGCTCCGGCGTTTCGACCGTCCTGGAGTTCCTGAAGCCGCTGATTCAGTCCATCATCAACGATCGCTTGGCGGACACCCAGACCACCATCCGGACGGGAAGATTGACCATGATTGACCTACATGGACCCTTCAAACCTTTTCAAACATCTGAACCTCTCAAGAGAAAGGGAAAGAGAAAGGGACGGATAACTTCTGACGGTATGTTTGATTGACCTACCCCAGAGACTCCATAGGACTGCGATGCCGCCTTACATGAAAAAAAGAACTCTACTCACACCACCCCTGGCCTTTTCTCGGCAGATAGTCTTAAATAGGATGTGCTTTTGTTCAATCCAATTGTATAGGGTTTAGAAAACATATTGAAACTGTCAAGGGTCTACAGTGACCCCTCCGACATCGAAACATCCCCGTAAAAACAACATATCATATACCTCAACACGACCACCTGCAAAAGGGACTGTCATATTGACCGGGAGAAGGCTGTTGGGGTGGCTTGAGAGGTGTTCAGGTAGGTAACTATTTCAGTCCCATGGATCCTTTGGGAATAGGCAGGCATATGGATTGGGAAAGGGAAAGGGACGGAGAGTTTTGTTGTGGAGGGCCCCTCGGGTGGGGTGTTGGGTAGGTTTTGCTTGGTTGGTTCAACCAGGAGGATAAGGGAAGGATCAAAGCCTGAAGGTTCCAACTGAAATGTGGTTGGGCCTAAAGCTTCAAAATCTGTTAGCAACAAAGGATGTATCTCATTTGGTCTTGTTTTTTGCTTCGATGCCTTCCTCAAAGTGGCCAACAAACAAGCAAAAACGTCGAACGCCAATTCCATCACCTCCGGCCACACATCGCAGAAACGACCCTGTTTCCGCTCGGCGCGTCCCGCGGTGAACGCGAAGCGTCCCGCGCGTTTCGACGCCGCGTGCAGCTGAGGAGTTGATTTGTAGCAACCTGGATCAGGTGCTTGAGGATCAAGGACTGGCCCACGAGCCAACGGGAGCGAGAAAAGGACACGTTCACCGGTAGCAATGAGCACGGCATCACGGCCACGAAGTGGTGTGAGGTGAAAAGGATCGTTTGATGCGAATTGGTGCTGATATACCATGGGACGTCAGGTTGACATGACGTTTGCGACGTTGAGGAGAATAGCCCTTTTTCCCCAGGGATTCGTCTTCATGTTCCTTTCCCAGGTAATGAAAAGCAAGGCATCCACGAGCAATCTCTGATCTGAAAGTAGAATCGAATCGTTTTACACCACCAGCTGAGCTGCCTTGACTGAGACCTTCGAAGCTTCCATCCCCAAAAAGTCGACGTGTCACACCAAAAGATGTATGGCTCCTGGCCTTACTACTAGGGAGCAAGAAGCTACTAGGGGCTGATGGCCTTACTACTAGGAGGAAGGACACTACCAGGGGCTCCTGGCATCGCTAGGAGCAAGGACGCTACTAGTAGCTCCTGGTCTTACTACTGGTTGCGAGTCAGGATGCAGGAATGTTTGATTGGTCCCTTGCTGACCGCTGGGGCCATTGGGGCGATCGGCACGGATTTGATGGGATGACAGTTGCCTCACCTTTTTTGGAGTCCAAGCATCAATCATGGAAGTGGAGAATTACATTTTTATGGGAAGACAACTCATTCATCATCTACAAACTGAAGATCGCCTCACATCTTTGATGATCATGAGGGCCTCCAAGGGCCACTTTCTCACAAGCTTTGCAATGCAATGCGGTTTGCAAACGCTTTTGAAGGAACTCTCCAGTGACTTGTGTTTTGGTGCTTACCATGAGCATCGCAACGTGCGAGTCAATGATTTCACCACAGAGCTGGGCGGTCTGGTATTGTGAGCTCTATTTGCCTCCACTTGGAAGAACATGACTTCCTTAGAAAGACCGCTTTGCAGACAGCACATGGGGGGGCCATGGGTGGCCCATATTTCAACTTCCGGTGTTCGGACAGTTCCACACCATGCACCCCCACCATGTCCATGTCGAGCCTCCGGCAGGATCCGAAGCCTTGCTGAACGCGTCGGGTGAGGTGCGAAAGATCTTGCGCGAAAGCCCCACGCCACCGCCCACACCAGCCACTCACATGGGATGGAGAGGGGGATGAATGAGGATCGGAGGATTGGACACATGGCACCATTTGGACGCCGAGAGGGGCACTGGAACATGCTGATTTGCAGTGGCACCATCACTAACAAGAAACACAACTCGATGATGGATGATGGGACCACTTTCTGGTGGATTTATTGAGACATTCCATACCCAGACTCTCCATGTATGTCATATTTACCTACATTGGTTTGAGGAATGAAGGTCAATATTCCATACATGCATGGATCCTCTGGATACAGCTACGAGTGGTTGATTGAGAGAAGCGGGATACTGGTTGCACCGCTTTCCAGTCTCCAACAGCTCGAACAACGGAGGATCAAAACGGTCCGAACGGTCAGCCCGCAGCCCGAGGTGATCGAAGATCCCAAGAAAGAGCTGATCGATTTCGGCGAGAACTCCGGGATGGATCCTCGAGCGGGATTTCTGGGTTCCTGGTTTGGCCCATCACGTGATTGGTGTTTTTCGTGGCTGGCCGCAAATCCGGACCGAACTGGGCGGAACTCTGGTTTCTGTTGGAACTCGGAACTGCCAGCGGTTTCAACCCCAGAGCTCCAGACGTTCCCTTTGGGGTCGATGGTGAGGTGAGAACACCAGTGATACGTTTTGCCTTTGGGATGGAAAGCTTCAAGGACATCAGGAACAGATGATCCACAGGATTAGTTCAGAGGTCTAGAACACAGCAATTGCACGCGCCCTGGAGCATCTATGATGGGGTTCCCTGTTGTGCCATTGGCTACTGTTTTGTCAAACCATTGATGTTTATTATTGTAAGACATGAGGCTGTCATCACACGACATGCTCGCACACACATGATTTTGAGAATTGCGGGCATGCAGCTATAGGGTTGCAGCACCTATATAGACGTGGCAGGGGCTTGCAGAAGGAATTCATCCCGCCTAAGTCAGATGCAACATGCAAAGACGCCTAAGTCGGAGAGTTCTGGGGGCCAAGTCGCCATACAACATGCCTCATGCGCCTCGTGTCTCGCCACTGACTTTGGCTCAGTATTACAGCATCTCACCTGGCAAATACCGAAGGGGATGCATTTGAAGCCTGAAACCACATTGATGAGCAAACAAACGTTGAAGGGATCAAAGTTTTCGATAGCAATGCTTTACTAAGCCTTTAGAAGTCTCTCATTCAGTGGAACTCGTGCTCCTTTGACATGAATTTCGGAGGTTTGTTTGGTGCATGATGGGTGATCCAGATGTACGCGTTTTCTTGCCAGAGGTTCAGTTCAGCGGCTCAGCTTGCCCTTCCCTTCCCTTGCTATCCAACCGATGCGTTGCACAGGGATTGGAGGGTTGGATCTCATTTAGGTACAAAGCAAGGGAGACCCCTTGCTAGACGCTGCTAGCCGCTAGCCTGACATATTCAGATTTCAATACATGTCATGTTTTAGAGTCATTCACCCCAAAGTTGTGCCTATATAGGTGGCTTCATGTTTCTAGTTTGTTTCTCTATAAGAGCTCCAGTTTGGGCTCGGTACCAGCGGTATCTCCGGCGCTTCGCTCGACTTGAGTTGTTGCAAAATCCTGGGTCGATCGCTGCCGTTCCGCCATGTCTTTCAGCCCGCAAGAGTTTCCACTTCGTAGCTTGGATCGCCCTTAGACTCGCTGGAACAAAATCATGGTGGTGGATGTGGATGGGGATGGCCCCGAAGACTAAGACTCAGATACTGGAACGTCCGCATGGTTGTTATGTGGATGTGGATGCCTCATGGTGGTGGTTCTGTGGATGTGACAATGGGATGGGATGGCATGGAATGGCATGGCTCTGAAGACAAAGACTAAGACTGGGATGACCATTTTCAATCCGAAGACCAAAGAGGTGGCGAACTCCACGTAGCATTGTTTTTGCACCTGTCTCAACTGCGCAGGATAGACGTGAGCCGAGCTGCTTATGTTTCCAGAGGTGGAGTTCACTTGGTACAAGTCGTCCAGTTTCCTCAAAACCTGAATTAAACCAGAATTAAACCTAGAATGAATATCTGAAGATTCCGTTGAATCTGCCACTTTTTCGCTGATGGAAGCGAGTGTGGGCCGGGACCACTTGCTGCATCAGGCAGTCCATCCTGAATTTGGGAGCCCTTGTGGGAATCTATGACGACATCCCATGCGATGGATAGTTTGACAATTTGTACTGAGGGCTGCTAGCAGTTCGATTCGAACATGCGATTTCGTATCATACAGTGAGCCCCTTGTGAATCACTCAACATGTCTTATGGACATACACACGCACACACGCACACACACACACACACACGCACAGGCACACGCACACACATGCACACGAAGACTGGAGCACGGACAGTCCTGGGTCTTGGCACCCGCATTTCATATAGACCGCATGAGACCGCAACAAAAACAGCTTCGTAGCACCTATCCAGAAGAATATGTTCATGCTTGTACATATCATCTATGTCTATATCATTCTATAAACCTCTTCAACTAGAAGTGGTATACATATAATGAGGAAGTGG